ACCTGCAAAAAGAAAATATAAAATTTCAATTTTATATCAAAAGCAAAAGGAGGGTTTGTTGTTTTTGACTAGTGATAATAATGTCTCATGGCATCCCTCTCTAGTTCTTTTCTGGTCCCTCTTTTAAACATTTTAAAGTAGAATTAAAGAGCAACTGATAAAAAATGTTCTATTTATTTAACTGGTTGGCTCAATAACAATAGTGATTATTATTTTTTTATTTTTGGTCGAACAACAATATATAGTGATTATATATTATGGAATTCAAATTCAAGTATAACTACAGTATACTCTTTAAATTATTCAAAAATTTCAGCAACTTTTGATTAGAATCACTTTTCATAGTCTCATGAAAATATAAAGTTCAGTTTGTTGTAGATAATATATATATGGGTGATCATTTGTAATACTATATTTTTGTATTTTGAATTCTTTTACAATTAAACATTTTTGTGTGTGTGTCAAACGATACACTTGTTATTTTTACAATCTAGTAGCTGAAGCATATAATAATGAAAAGTTTCAAAAAAAAAAAGACATATAATAATGAGCTATACATCTTAATTATTCATGTTGATTACTCTTATTTCATAGTATCATAATAATACAAAGAGTGAGTGGAATTATGAGTTGTATACTATTCCCGCCCACCCATTTTCATGATTTTATATTATTTGTTGGGTTACTATCCGCAATTACCTTGTCAATTTCAAAAATCTTAATTATACCATGACTACATGTATAGATATCATAATTACTCTATATTTTATCTATTATACATAGATTAGGTTACGAAATTCGGTGGAGAACTTGAAATTACAATTAGAGGATTAATTTATGTTAAAGATGTGACTTAACAAGGTCGATTAAACATTTGATTTTTCGTTTCTAACTTTGATTTAAAGTACTATATATATGTTGACTGTATTTAGGGAATATGGATTATTCTACGTAATGATACTTTTTTATTTAATTATGTTATTTCGACGAAGAAAGGTGGACACCAAAATTTCACCCTTTATTTCAATTTGTGATCTGCTTTTCTAAAAAGGACCATTATATAACACCACACATGGCTATAAAAAGTATATGATTTTATTCTTAAATTGGTAAAGCTATAACAAATGTCGCGTTAATCACATAATTAAAATTAAAGTTTGTAAAAGCAACATAAACTGAAAATCGAGGCCAATTATAAGAAACCAAAGAAACTTTTCAAACAAACAAATTAATACTGCACGAGTTATAATGTTCCATTTATAATTATCTAGCTTTTGAATTTATAAATAATCATTCTCAAAATATCAAATCACGTGTTATTAAAACGTAATTATCCAACGTGCGATTACTAAAACTGTTAAAATCACACAGATTTTGGTAGTCAAAATGGTCGTTGTGGAAGTGACTAAACCATTCAAGTTACTTGGGGAATAATAACATTATAAACTAATTTTCACACTGATATAACAATTATTTAGAGAAAATAAATCTATAAGGGCTGAATAGCAAACAAATTGGCTACAAATGTATATTTTCAGAAGACGAGGGGTTGGAAAAACAACTCGGTAAGACCGACAGGAAGCGACAAAAAGGAAGAGGTAGGTCCCAGTTTTGGGGCGTGATTGAAATTTTAAGCTTTTTCCAATCTAAGGACTGTTTTCTGATATAAATCATTTCTCTTTCCTGATGTCGACACCTGTCGTTCCTACCCAAACACCCTCTCCCACACAATAATAATCTCTCTGCCTATCTCGTGTCGTTTAGTGCCGCTAGCTTCACCTTGCCTGCCGTTTTTCTCGACTTAAAACGACCTACCATGTCCACGTGCTCTGGCCCATTATAATTTTTGGCCCATCAAAATTATTGGGGTTAGGAACATTTTTTTACATTCTCGATATATTACATTTGATATATTTTCATATTTAGTTTTTTTTTGTTTTAGAAACCGGGAGAGTTCCGAAACATTAGAACATAATCTCTTCGGTATTTGGAGACAGTCTTTGGATATTTCGATTCAAAGAATTACTCTCCGTTCCAAAAGGAACACACAAAAACCAACCCCCATCTATTTGGTGATTTAGTTCTTTTCACACCCAAATTATATAATTCAGATGAGTAAACGAATACGAGAGCAATTTTTTTAGCCATCGAATTCGAAATTTTTATACAAAAAGGGTGATGTAATCATTATCGC